TAATAAACATTAATTGGCTAATATATACGAGGGTCGTTTGAAAAGTCCGTGCAAAGTCAGAGAGATGACACTACTGGCGCGTATCAAGGTTAGATTTAGTTAGTAGCATCTCTTGGAGGAACACCAAGTTACAGCCAGATCGGTCTATTTGTTTGTGTTTGGCATTCATTTGAATCGAGGAAGTCGAGTGATTTTCAGAACGTTCAGCGTCACTTGTGCCCATATGGCCACTCCGAAAATTTTGAAACCACTTATAAACTGTTCTAATCGAAGGTGCACAGTCACCATAATGTTTTCCAAGCTTCTCTTTAGTCTCTTGAGGCGTTTTGCCTTTCATAAAGTAATGTTTAATCAACACACGAAATTCTTTTTCGTCCATTTTTTGAAAATCTATCGACTTCCTCGATTCAAATGAATGCCAAACACAAACAAATAGACCGATCTGGCTGTAACTTGGTGTGTGTTCCTCCAAGAGATGCTACTAACTAAATCTAACCTTGATACGCGCCAGTAGTGTCATCTCTCTGACTTTGCACGGACTTTTCAAACGACCCTCGTACGTTACTATACGTACATCCAGAACGGTTTTAAAACACCGTTTTCGATGACATTATATAATATATTATGCTTGCTCCCCCCCCCCACCCTTCATCTTCTTTCTCTTTCTCCTTGTTTCTCTTTTTTTTTCTTTTTCTCTTTCTCTTTCTCTCTTTTTCTCTTTTTCTTATAATAGCCACCGAGATACCGTCGATTGTCGTTTATACACTTCTAAAGAACAAAATACATTTGAACGCTGCGAGATCCTACACGTGTGCTTTGTCTTTCAGTTCACAAATCGTGCTTAGCGAATATCATACTGTAGATAATCGGACAAATCGAAACAGATCCGTTCTTTATTTCTGCACCGTGTGCACTCAGGACAAGAAGTTTTCGATTGGAACACAAAAGGAAGGTTTACTCTTAATTACTTTAAATACGAAGCGCCACTATGGTCTGAATGTAAAGATGTTGAACTATTATATATTGGGTTGTTCGGAAAGTAATTTCGTTTTTTTTCCAACAGAGGACTTAATTGTATTTTTTCACATCCAACTTCACACTTAAGCCGCATAATCATTATATATTTTGACAGCTGATATAGCAAGGCTTGCTTGTGAAAAAAGTTCGATTGATTCTACGCAGTAGTTTTTGGTTGGTGCCCTATCAAATATGGAAAGTGAAAAACAGCATTTTCGGCATATTTTACTT